CCCACCCTCTTCCTCTGACTCCTCCCCTTCTGCATCGATTAGTCATAAGTGGTGACAGCTGGATTCGCCATGGCGAAGGAAGATGAGTCATGTGGGAACAGGGTTGGGAAAACTTAAGCCGCTGTGAGATGAGCTGGATCAGCCTGAATCTGTGACCCGGATTGGCCCCGCCCCTCCGTCCAGGTGAACTCTGACCCGGTTTGTGGATCCAAGTTGACCTGCTGAGGCTGATTACGGTGATACTCAGGTGCTTTAAAGTCTGCCATCACATGTGAGCATGAAATGTAATCGGATTACAATTAGGCTGTGCTTTTAAAGCGTAAACTATATTGATGCCAGCTGTAGCAGAGCCTGTGCTTTAAACTCAGTCATGTGACAGGGCTGTCAGTGTTTAGCCCCTCCCTCCAATGACCCCTCTTTACACCTGAAGGTAAAACAAAACTTTCTGTAGGACTCAGAGGTCCCACAGAAAGTCCTTCCTGTCATAAACACTACACTACCCATAATCCTCACAGCTAATTCTCCCTAAACAGTCTGAATGGCCCAGAGGAAGCCCTCTATAATTCTGCTGCTGTAGCACCAGCCCTGAAGCGCAGACATGAAGAGAAATGCATTCTGGGAGTCGTAGGCTGAACCTCCAGAGTCTGTCTGCTTCCAGTGCCCCAAGCTTCTCACACATGTGCTGCACTCTGTGTTCCTGATGCTGATTCTGAGCACGCTCACATCGAGTGTTAGTGCATGAGGTTGACATGAAGGGGAGGAGCCTGGTGCTCCTAGCAGAGCTAGCATTGGTCAGCTGTACTGCAGGTGGTGGGAGGTGAGCTCTGATTGGCTGTTTGTAGCATAAAACAGGAAAAAGCTGAGGTGTTTGCAACAGTTTTCTTCTTCATGTCAGAGGTGTGAACACTTCTCCTGGTTCTCCTCCTGCTCCTCGTTCTCCTCCTGCTCCTCCTCCTCCTGTTGTGTTCTTCTTCTTCCTCTCGCCGTGTGTTTCAGTCTCTTCTTTCATCTTTTGATTTGTTCTTTTCTCTCTGGTTTCATTGCTTTCTCTTCGTGTCCTCAGTGTTGCTCCTCCTCCTCGCCAACACCGCTCGCTCACAATGGCCGACTGGACCGACTGTCTGAACTTCGGCATCTCCATTGCTAAACAGGCCAGTAAGGTAAGTGACACAGCAGCCAATCACAGCACTGAGGTCACAGGTGTGGCGTTTTTAATTGTAACAGGTGCTTCTGGTGTGAATCCTGATTGCGCAGCCGTCCAATCAGGTGATGATGACATTGAGGTTCAGCGAGGGGTCAGGTTTCCTAGGAATATTCAGGAATGTCACGGAGCAGAGTTTACACACAGACGCGCACAGACCCGTGCATGAATGGACGCACACAAACGTTTGCCTTTACCTGCGTGTTTGCCACCAGGTGGTGCTGACAGCGTTCCAACAGGAGAAGGAAGTGAAGCTGAAAAGCTCTCCGGCTGATCTGGTGACAGAAACGGACCAACGGGTTGAGATGATCCTCTTGTCTGCCATCAGGAGCCAGTATCCTCAGCACAGGTTCTATTGAGTTCTACTGTCACAGCTGTCTTTGCTTCATTGTGTCAGTCGACTAATTAACCCAGCATGAACTCTGGGGAGTGAGCCGTTACACTAACTGGATTCAGATTGGACGCCCAGGTTGTAAACTGTCTTAAAGTCTGCCTAGTGACAGCGGGCAGGAAG